ATCATGTCTCTGCACAGAATGGTTCGTCATCAGTATACTTGATATAGACTTCCAACGAATCGAACGTTTTACGTCAGGTCATAGACACCTGTACTCAATGCCTGCAGTTGGAACATTCTGTAGGCAAGACTCTGTTCGACGACAGGGTGTGACTGCATAGCCTGTCCTGCTTTTACCTGCAGTAATTGTAGAGAGATACCAAGTTCCCATTTCTGAATCTGCTATTGCTTGTACCGTTATCGTCTGCATCCATAGAATGATTGAACGCCCACCGGCCTAAACGGTTATCAGTTGGTTTGACAACAATGGGCATATCACGAGGATAGTTGTAGCTATTCTGTGACGAGCAGCATAATTATAACGGTTGGGCATACAAAAGCCCTAAACTGTGGGGGGTGAATTGTTTGCAAGATCATGGAAGGCACCTAGGTAGGTTGTCCGCGTAAAATCGGTATACCCACCATGGTATGGACCGGTAGATGGATTAACGGTGCAGTAAGACTGGCATCCGCTCTTAGCAGTAAGAGCGTTGTACATAACCACCGAATATCAGCTACCTGCTGATTGCCGAATGGCGGCTGTAGTACACAAAGCTCGGGACTTGTGAGATACATTGCTTCGTAGTGGACCAAGATGGGAGGCTTGATATCCCAGTACCACCTCTGTGTTTCCTAGAGCCCATAGGCCTTTTTGAGGTTAGACTCGCAGAAAGACCTCGCCATTTGGCTGATAGAAAACAAGTTCGCCATTGGATACCTGGATAGCCCTTGTCTTCAGACCTGATCAAGTTCTGACGACCATAATTTTGGATTTCAAGTCCTCGGAATGGTGAGCTCATGTATAAGGGACGAAATGATGTACTTGTTTTGTCCAGGATACGCTCCCGCCCCAATTTGGGAAGATGGTATCGTCCGGAGATGCAAAGCTTTGCGTTTCGTAGGAAGTTCATCAGTAGGTGCAGGGTATATGAACGCAGCACCGTGCCAAGAACATTTTCCAAAGTCTAGGTCAAGGCATATTCTACCATAATAGAGCACACCATATTGGCCGCCATCATAGCTTGCTTCTATGACATGGGCTGTGGAGCTGCACTAAGTGGACGCACCCATCGAGACCACCGCGGTCGGGATAAGAGCAGTGTAAACATTGACACACAGACCGGCCATGGCTGTCAGGTCTCCGGGAAGATGCGCCATCGTTGCTGCCTTGCATTCAACGGAGGACTTGCTCTCGACTGTCTTTTCGAGTCTGGTGCCAAAGTTCTACGTTTAGGGTTTGTCCCGTCTTGGAATTTCTCGAAATGAGATATCTCCAGAGGTGACTTGAGCACATGGAAACCGGTGATGTGGAAAATTCCTGCAAATGACTCGGTATCTTTTGGTGCTCATGCTGCTGTTGCTGGTGGTTTGCTTTGTTGGTGTATCATAGACCAGTCGACAGAGCAGACCAGCACCAAGTATACTTACGTCGTCGAGCGTCTACTGCGTCCACGGCGTTCAGCTTCTGTCCATAGAAGAATGAATGGGATAAAAAGCGGATTAGACTGGATTGATTCCGAACCGCGAACCATCCCTATGTTCTGGCTGCACTGCTGCGTGTCCGCTTAGATGGTCATCGATGACGACCACTTGGAGGGGATCCATAATAAAAGGTGTATTATAGGCGCAGGCCGAGACAGTCTCGACCAAAGAGACTATGCGCAGATCAAATTTCCAGACGTGGTCGACCAGGTGGACAGACTAGAAAGGAAAATGAGCCCAGTCCGAGATGGAGATACAGAAGATTCCACACGTTTGAGCATGCGCCAAATCAGACCGCCGAATCAATGAAACTCCAGTGAAAAGGCATGCCTTCCCCTACTGTCTTACCCAGCTCGACAATGAGTTCTGCGCGCCGGGTATCCCTAACCTCCTCATACGCGGTAGGTTCCATTCAGACAAAACAAGAGTGAACCGCAAGGCTCACTCTGGACGGGAGAAAAAAAAAAAATGAGATTCCAAGCCCGTCTGAAACCTGTATTAGGCCAGAGCGAGTAAAGTGGGAATCCCTGGTCTAAATAGGGTTCTTATTGCCCTTGATGGCGAGCGTAGACCGTTACCACTGTATCGGTAAGGAAGTATCCTGCCAGTCCCAAGGCCCGTCATCACCATAGTACGAAATGAAGAAGTGTCGTTTAACCCGACTTGTGGTTCTGGAAGCAAAAAAGGCTGTCATGTCCTGGACCCCGGCATTGGTCGCTGCCAACAGTCACTGTACTTCCGTAGTTGGGAAGCCGTGTCATCGCTCGAAACATACATGGCTGTATGTTATGGATAGACAACGGAAAGTGCTTGAGTCGAGGACAGTAATATTGCACTACTCCAGCCCTTCCCTCACGGGGATGTTGAGAGGACAAAGCCAGTGGTCTCCAGGGAGTAGCCGAAGCGCACATGCTCTCGATGCACTTGGCCTGAGTCAGACCATTCTTTCATGGATAATGTTTCCTTGATAACATTGAGGGCCTCCGCTTCGCCGTGCAAGGGTGCAAGGGGGCTGTCTTTATCGAGGCCGGTACATCGATTAAGGTCAAGAAGATCATCATTATTGGTATCTTGATATCATTGCGATATGACCGGGTCGTCTTCAGGTCGTGCCGTCGAGGAGAGGGCCACCCCGCTTGGTAGCGATGGTAGCCTCAGCAGTAGCTGGTGGATGCTGTGGCTAGGACTATCGGCCAGCCCGTGAGAAGATAGACGGAGTAATAAAAGTAAAAAAGGACCAAATCTGGACGCATCTTCTAGCCCTGAAAGAGGAAAACAAAAGATCCATTCGTTCTGCTGACTTCTGGCTATCCTCTGGCCCAGACACTAGTGTAGCACCAGCAGTCGATATCAGGAGTTTCCTCGTCTAAGCCATTCTCCAGTGCAATGTGACGATTCTGTACAGGGCTCTGCGATACGATCCTGCTCGTCCGTGTCAACAGCTGTGATTGCAGCTCATTTCGATGGATAGCGGAACATCCGATGTTAGGGATAAGCGGCAGCCTTATTTCTCCTTTGGAAACTGGCAATGAAACTCCAGGGACCCCGTATCATCCTCGCCAGGCTTGACATATCAATCGCTTTTATTGACACCGCGAGGGGCACTTGTTGCGGAAGATACAGCTATTCAATATCAGGTCTCGTGCACCTAACCTGGGCTGCCTGGATAGTGTCCACTGAGGATCCGTGATTATCATATCGTGGTCTGCTGATTCTAGACATCATCGTCAGCTCGAAACCATAAGGATGGTTGACAGGGGCTGACCAGATAACCCTATCTCATTGAGTGTTCGCTCTCAGACACAGTTGCTACACGCCTCAACCGGAAAGTAGACCCTGATTTATGATATCTCCTAAGTGAGCTGAAACGTATCGGGTCGAGGTCAGGAAATCGCCTCGTTTTGCTCGCATTCGCCGAAAGTGAGGTCGTAGTCGGCCAAGTTTTTCCCTGGATATATTAGCAAGACCTTTGAATACAACCAAATAACTAACTGAGATGTTCAGGAACGTTCCTCCCCTCATACATCTGGGAAGACAGCACCCACATGTACCATCTGCGGTATATTGAGTCACCACAACTCGGTGCACTCCATGACAGTCTTCACGAGCCCAGTCTGTTGAGCCAAAGTCTTTGGTCCCGCTTTACCGACAATGAGAGTCCAGACTGGCGAAGCGGGACATGTATAGAAGGTGTCCACTGCCCATGTGGTCGGGAGTTGCAGGTCATCAACTGGAGTATTACAGCTGGGGCGGGATTTCCAGTGTCCTTTACCTCGTCGCGTGAAATCTTCCATGGTTCGTTTCTGGATATATTGAGATCCGGTCATCCCAATGGAAGCCGGGCACAGATAAGAGGAGGCAAAGCAGGAAGGCTTAGCACACGGAATTCACTAGATGGGCGGTTCTTGGTAGGCCAGTAAATCCCATTCAGTGGACTGTCCAGAGGTCGCCAGGAACGGGTGGGTTCCTGTGCGCTGTTGCCAGTACTTTATCCATTTCTTGAATTGGAATGCAGAGAAGTCAGTGCGTTTTGCCAGATCTCTGCGGTTTATGGAGGATCCAGCCAGCAGAGCCTGCGTACTCGATAAGAATCATCCGGCAAGCCGCTTAGGGTTGTGCTGGACATCGCATCTCGACTTGTCCAAATCTTCTGCTGCTCTGATAGATATCAGCAGATATAGGGGCTGAAGTCTGTTGTCGAGAATTGCCACGATTATTGCAGTCATCGACATCTGCTTCCTATCCTCTCGCAGCTCAATTCGCGACGGATATTGGTTGAGGAAATTCGTCAGGTCAAGAGGTCCCAATGGTCTTAACTGTTGCAAGCTATTTGCTCGCCATGGTTCGCGGTCCGGGGGATGAGAACCCTCAGACGTTCTTGGCTTCAGGCACCTTCAGTGGAACATTTTAGATGTGCTGGTGCTATGGATCTGTTCAGAGCTTCCACGACTTATGACATTATCATCAGTATCTGTTCAATGACCGTTGAAAGTGAAGTACGCGTAACCAGAGCAGTCGTGATCCGGTTCGATTACTGGATATAGGGAATAGGCTGAGGTAGAAACATCCTGCCTAAGCTGCTGGATTTCTCCGTCACGAAAAACTTGTGTGTACTCCCAGGCTAGGGGTGAGAAGACGAGAACCGAGATATTGGATGCCAATTGCGTAATTCCCTGCGAAGATGGGCAGAAGGAGGGAACCTCCCCCCGTGTGGTTAATTGTCGTGGATATGGCCCCATGCTAGGGCTAGCACAGCACATTCCACCACGACGCCGCTGATGAGAGAACTGCCTTGTAAGTGATTTTGCAGACCATAAGATTTTTAGGTCAGGTATCTCGCTTGGTGCAATGGTACCAGGTGAGTAGGCGAATAACAGTTGGATCTGTCACTATCCAAGACCGTATGACAGCTAGGAAAGCCTGAAGGCTCAGTCTCGGACGATTTCTCAGTTGCACAGTCAAGGCTGGCACCACTAGGGTATAATTTGCAGTTACGAGTAGAGTGTCAGTAGGGCCAAACCGGATCGTACATGGATCGCCTCCCGCAGAACTCCATGTAATCGGGGTATGCTCCCATGTCGACAGATATCACCGAGCTGGGTGAAATGTCTCCAGATCTCGACCGGCATCCAGATGTACATCGGGATTATTCCACATATTTGGCGAAATTTCCCATGCCAGCACGCACCATCAACGAAGTTCAAGATGAGTACAGGAGATCAGTTACTAGTCCTGTCCGAGGATCCTCCTCGTCCACCTCCCTAACCCAGACCAAGACCAAGGCCTGGCCTGTCAGCAGAGCTGGTATTCCAGTGTCCACTGGAGCCGGGGGAAACATCCCTCCAGTCCGGTCCTCCCTTGCTGCAGCTAAAGCATTCTGGGCATCACGTAGGGCCATGATATCCCAGTCAGGGATAGGCCGGTTCAGCTCAGCAGTTGTTCGTGCATGCCATTCCTGCCCGTTTATAGACATCTCAATACGGCATAAACCATCCGGACGCCAACCTGATTCCTGCGCGAGCTCTTGGAGAGCTGCCTCGTAGATACATCCAATAGTCATACCATCATATCCATCGAGTTCGGTGTGGTAGGTGGCAGCCAAACTTCGATGAGGTGGGCGTGAGCTGGTACGGATGGTGATATCGATGGTGGTATCGGGAATCAGAAAAGGATAAGCACAGTCGCCGTTGGAACATACGGCCGTTTGATTCATCGTGGTATTACTAGGAATTCAGAGATAATCAGCCAGGAACAATAGAATCCAAGAAGAATAGTTAGAAGGGACTTACTTGACTGCTTGAGATACAAGACTAGTTGGCCAGAGATAGACAGGTAAGATAAGAGTAATATTGGAGTATGGATTGTATTGGATATACCAGGGTGCGAGAGATCAAAGAGAGAGGGCGTGTCATGGAGAGCCATCCTCAGGATACCTGACGGGAGGTTATCACATCTGGTAACCCTGGCACTCGTCCACTGATCTGTAGACTCCCGCTTTTTCATTCCAGATGGACGGACACAATATGGGCGAGTGATCGGATTCCGTTAATATGCAAAAGGGCATGGCTCTGCAGAAAGAATGGTCTTCACGGTCTCGATGTCTGGACTGGTCTACCAACCCAGTTGAGGATCAGCATTTCGTCGATTGCCCCGTAGTCTTTTATCCAGGCCACGAATATTGCTGCCATCATATCCCATGCTTGGAAGTCCAAGACCAGCAGTCGAGTCTGGTCAGACAATTCAGGTCATCTCCCTGGATAGTATTCGGTCATCTACAGCTGTGCCGAGGATGAAAGCCTTTGGTGACAAACACATTTGACCACCAGTAATGTACTGGTTGATAATGTCCAGTACTTCCTGGCGAAAAGACATTTGCCATAGGAGGTTGCATCATAAGTTATACAGCGTACCGGCAGTCATATAAGGCGATGAACTTTCCGAGTCCTCTCCTTGCTGCTCTCCTATCGGTGAGTCTACCCATGCTGGGCTCATCCAGGGCTCGCTCATGAACTGTAGCGATGCTGGTATGAAGGCTGGGGATAGTTCCTCCCGTCAAGCCATACATAATCCCATTCGCAGAGGCAGCTCACATCGGCCTGTACGGGTTGACCCTGTGAGTTTCCAGGCATGTAAAACATCGTAGTGGCCAAATATCAGTTTCGGGGCAGTGGAGGGCCTAGGGAAAAATGAAGGCTTCACTTCCATTAACCGCTTAATGAATCAGAAGCATGTAAAGCTCGCAAGGTTCCACGGAAACCGCTGAATCGTCAACCCTTGGAGGCTCTCTCGTGTAGTCGGGATTGAATGCTATCTTCATAATTCGTGGGTTGATAACATCGAGCTTCTTGTCCTAGCCCAGGCAGAACTTACCCTTGCGGTGCTGATATATGCATCAAATAAATCCCTCGGCCGCATATCGCAGGTAATACCCTGTCCACTGTCATGTCCCTATATAGAGCTGCAGGAATTCCAGTGGTATCTTTACAGGGCCAGCAACATCCTGGTTATTGGCAATATATCGCGCACATGCCCAGAAACAAAGTTCAACTGTGTGCATATCATGATCGCAGAATATAGACGGAAGCCATTTCCCTTTCATCCTCTAGTTGAATGTGAGAGTCCTTTCGAGTGCCCAACGAAGGGCTTGCATTGGGCAAGGACGCAGCCGGAGTGGCTCGATGTCGGTCATGAAAAGCCTTCGAAAGAAAGCCTGGACTTCGCCCGTTGAATAAGGTCTCGGCCAGAGTTCTTGGGAGGCATTTGAGATGGGCACGATTCCTAGCTCATGGAGTGGGTGGATGTCAAAGGAATGCTTTGAAGTAGGGAATAGGAGAACGGTTGGTCGTACACCGCACTGGAAGCAGTTGCTAATATCCACTAGAGCGGCAAGGATTGGTATAGATATACCGCATTTAGGGTCTCAAAGACGAGTATACTGCACCGCGTGTTGTGGGAACAGGTGCAGTGCAATGGCATCATTCCAGGCGAGATGAGAAAGACACCTCCACCTTCACGTCCCAGGACCCGAACCGATACAGCGCCATTTCGCTGGATGCTTTTGCCAGGCTTCCAGCTGGACAGTGTCGACAAAGCCATTGTCAATGGTTGACTTGTGGACAAACAGCCACGCCGTCAGGAATGTCCGGACAGGTTATAACCCAGTCCTGGTCACACCCCTAGACCATACCAGGGCTGCCAGTTCATGTGCCGGACTTGATTCGATCGTTGAACGCTGAGCCCCTGTCGATATAGTAGCATCAAAGATGACAACCATGTTTTCAGCCCTGGAAGCTGTCCACTATAGTGATCCACGCGTCGAACGCAGCTTGCATGCTGAACGGTTGTCGTAGAGATAAGCTGACCACAGTATGGGGTGAGGATGGTAATATGGTCTAGCGGAGCTTTGGGCAATCACCCACCAAGTACAGGGCCTGCGATGCTCGTGTGGGGGCACTTCTGCGAATACCAAATGCTGCCAATTAATCCGAGTGTCGGCTGGGATGCCTACATTGGCGACCAGAGAAGTGGCAGGCAAGCAGCAGAGCACATGGAAATGTTGATAGTCGAGCACCCGCAAGCATCACGCTTTTCGTGTGATTCAATGTCCCTGAATGGGTTGCCGTTCATATACTGGGTGATCAGCCGGGAGCGTATAGCTCCAGAGGGTATTGACCATACGCCGCTGCTCGCAGAAAATAAAGTCCATCAAACTATACAGCTTGAGGCGCCCAAATGATGACAGTGCAGTTGTTTGGCGAATCGATCAGATCCTTCGCTACTGAGCGCAAGCAGCCGGAGGTGCTTGTGGTCGCCGACTAGCAGTGCCGGCCAGCGGTAGGAGTCTCTGCTCCTGACCATGATCAGAGGAGCTCTTCCTTAGCGCTCCAGCAGTCATCTCGTTCTGGGATTTGCTGCGGTACGGTTGTATGGGCATCACGCATCACTAGACCGCTGTGCCACTTCATGCACTCGCGTTTAGGCTGGGTGTCACTGAATATGGCGGTGATCCATTGGCAAAACAGGCTGCTTTGCGATGAGATATCTGCTCAAGGCCCGGACAGTAGGGCCCTAGGTATTTCGAAGTATTGGACTGCACGAGAAAAGGACCCTAACTGGGGTTTCGAGCGACATCTTTGCAAGATACCATGCTGTGGCTACGGCTGAGGCCTGTGAACCCGTTCAACTGACTGCAGCTGGTGGCAGTATTCCTAGTTTGGTTCTGTCTCGCGGTGGGAATAGCCTCCCAGGCCTCTCGTAGAGCCAGGATCTCCCTGATTGTTCGCTCAGCTGGGGCCGTGGCATGCTAGGTCCATGTAAGGATATCTCCACGTGCTATCATATCTGCAAGCCAGGTGCTATTTAGCATAATCTCCTGAATGGCAGCCTGGTAAATATATTCGATGGTCATTCCCTCATGACCCTCAACATCAGCAAGGTTTGCGGTGGCAGGGATATGGCCGGGGCGCGAGTGGTTCAGATAGTGATATCAAATGTGACATTGACGATTGAGTCTGCTGTGTGGACAGCCAGCCCTACAGGTTATACCACATCGATTAGTACATATCAGTAGATAAGAAAGAATTCTACTTACGTGCCATTCTTGTGATATCTCTGCAAGATAACCTCGATACAGACACCCAGACATGGCGAAATGGAGGTGCATCTGTTGCTATGCTGTTGAATAGCCAGCATTATGGGGGATCAGGAGTCGGTAGTCCTCTGGCACTGCGTTGCAGTAGGGACACAACAGTGTGATATCTCTAGTCACTCCTTTTTCAATATAACGAGGATGGGTTTATATCGCCGGTAGCTGGAGTATATCGAGGATATGAAGGCACAGCACAGCCTGTACTGAGATTCCGTCTCAGCCATGTGGAAAGTCTCTACAAGATCAATGTAGAAAAGAGTGCACCCGGGCAGCCTCGAACATCGTCTGCAGCCAGCATCACGTAGGCTAGGACCGACTACTCGCATGGCCACAGACAAGCGGCCATGCAGTAGCTGCTCGACGTTGTGCTGTAACGAGTGAGCGGACTCGATCTGTTCGGTTTCTTTCGGTGTCCACCATCATATGTCACTAAGAGCGAGTTGCCTTTGACTATCATCCGTTGTTATGAGTTGACGATGCGTGCGTCCTATAAACGATGGCAGCCGGCACCGCAAGTTTCTAGTAGTGACAAGCCTGGTACTGGAATAGAGTCTGAAATGAAGGGAGCATGAATGGTCTCTGCAGTGGTTCTCGCAATCATGCCTCAAAAATAAGACATTTGCTGTCTTGTCCGCTTGTTCTGTCCAGTGTCAGACCAAGAGCACCATGTCTCTTTTGGGGCACTTGTCTCTTCAAATAAGAAGCCTTATCAACGTAGGTTCCGGTTCAGGCGATATCAATCGATCCAATTCTTCCTCGCAACTGCCCACATCTTGGACAGTATCCGGCCATAGATTCAGTCCCAACCATTGCTTGCTGTGTATATGGCACCCCGGTTTTCTTATGGCAATGGCGACAGACGCCGTGTTTGATCGAGGATGAGTGAGGGCAGGGGGCCTCCTGGTTGCTAGCTATGTTCAATATCGAAGCCGGTACAGGAGCCTCGAGATTGATGGAATCCATACAACGAGCTATGGTATGGCGTTCGCTAGGAGTAACCACATTCCCAGGTATCAGGAGACACCACAAGCACCGAAGATAGAAGTGCTGGGAGAGCTGAGCAAACGCACTACTCGCCAAATCTCCAGTTCGGCCTCAACTGTAACGCTGGTGATGGTATCCTGTTTTGATATCTCCGCAGCTGCCTTGCGTCCGTTTTGTCTCGTCTCCTTGCTGTTCTGGTCTGGGTCTTCTCTTCGTTCGGTCCATGTAGATATACAGACAGCAGACAATGATTCAATTCTCCAGTATTGCTATGACCGGTCTCGCGGGATCCGGGTAAATGCATTGATGTATCACTTGGAGATCTTCAACCGAGAGCCCTTACCGGGGTCTCATCGTGTCTCTCGTGAGTCGAGATTGTCCTGCGGGTATTTGAGCCGGTGGCAGCGTCTCTAGAGGTTTGTAGAAGATGCACAGCATTTCTTTGGAGGCATCTGACTGCACAGTATTTGTATCGTATTAGTCTCTGTATTCTGCTCTCTGACGGTTCGACTAACAGCACTTGCAGTTTGAATCATTCATGTTCCAACAGAGGAACGTTTGCCGATGCAAATCCACCAATGACACAGTATCGTAGAGAACATTGTGATTGCGGCCTTGACATAGAAAGCGAATCAATCACTGTTGTCTCTAGTTCAGGCTCGGGTCAAGTTCTGCTCCACCGCGCGTCACTTCCACCAGCATCGGATAGTCTCAAAGGTATTGTGGTGCTGAGGCTACAGTCTCAGGGCAACGACGTAAAATAGTTGGTATAAAACTGCCGGAAGACCCCATGGGGCAGAATAAATAGGGTGTTTTGACATGAAAACTCCATGGTATCGAGTTGTTGACAAATTGATATCCCCATCCACGGTAGAACGCCGAGTTCGAGGCAGCCGCGAGGTCAGCATGTCGACATACACTCTCTATCGTTGTTCAGAGGTAGGATGGGCTTCGTA